AATTTGCCACTTGAAGTCTAATCCATGTGAGTTAAAGCCTCGCATTGATGCTTGGGGTTTGTTAATTTGACACCCCTCGCTCTTACAACTGGACCTTTGCAGTAGGCTTTTTGCGAGTAAGGGGTTAATCATCCTTTTCACAACTGAAATAATCTGAGTTTAACATGGTATCTAATCTGCAAACTTTCTACGAATATCCCTACCTATAGTCTGGGAGATTAGGAAAAAAAAAGTTCGCACTTTTGAGTAAAGCTATGAGAATTGGTACTACATATTATGCTCATTGACCCTTCCTGTTAAAGTTCAGAACCCCCGTTAGGGGAGGAGGGTGACTATGCAAATGTTGATTGCTAATGACTGGACCTTTTTTTTTCAACTCTACTAAGCTCCATAGTTGGGAAAACACGTGTAGGGTTGCCTACCCATTCTAGCGCTAACTAGACGATTTCTATGTTTGTTTGACTATTCAATTCATCTAACATTTGTCACATTTCAACCAGTGAAATGTCTCGATTTCAAATTGCTGCGCCAATGGGAACGAATTATAGTGATAATTGCACGTGTATTTCAGCGATAATTTCACGTGTGGTATTTCAGCGACAATTCAATGCGATTATTCAATGACATTTGTCAAACTTCCACCAGTGAAATGACGCGAAATTTTGTCGTATTAACCGGAACATTCTTCTTAGTTTGTTAATCAATTTCGACAACCGACTTATCACCACATCTTTTAATTTAATCACTCATAACGAATTAGCTTGGAGCACAAAAGTTCGAATAGAATCAATAGCAAAATGAAAAGCAACTTCCATAATTTATTTTGACGTTTATTGTTGTCATGGAAATACATTCGCGTGGGTAATTATGCTTAATTTTTCTTTTGATTCATTGAATAGTCCTCCGAATACCATTCGTAGTCGAAGTATTTGTAGATTATTTTTGAGCTGCTGCTCCACTCATGCTAGTTACGCGTAACTAGCATTCGTGACAGCACCTCAAAAATATTCGACAATACTTCGACTACTTATGGTATTATATATGATAATTAAATCACATAAAGCTTTCATGGCACTCAGAAGTTAATATGAGCCCTCCCAGTGCGGGCTACCTACCCCCACTATTCCCATCCCAGATACCCACATAAAATATAGTTACTCACTTTTTACCGACCTCTTAGTCGTTGATATTATGCTAACTGTACAACCGATTTTTCAAAAAAATGTACTCCCCACTAAAAAGCTCTTGTACACAGTTCGCCAAATTTATGAAGTATATACGGTGGTTAGTGAACCCATCCTATATTTGTTGGGGTGCATGTTTTGGACATCAATTTGCTCGTTGGGAATCCAACTTAACACTCAGTATTTCTTACCGAAAAAATCAAAGCAGTGGTACCTATACCTTGAAGGTGTGCCAGGGGCTTTCAAATTTTTTTGTTTTAAGGGGAGGCGTCCCCAGGAATTATTTCCCGAGATGCCGTTTTTGAAAGTAAAACGTGCATAACTTTTACATAGGATAACCAATTTGTCTCAGATTTTGCATACCTATGCCTCTAGTGGTGCAATGTAAAACTTTTTAAAATGAAAGGGGGGGGGGGGTAACACACGTTCTCTCTTCATGGTATTGTAATGAAAGTTCTATTCAAAAGGGATTAGTTACTACAAGCCTTCTTCCAGGATTCGAGATCAGTGGATGACGGGCGCAAGAGGGGCAAAAATTGGTTTTATCTTTCATGATACTCTAATTAAAGGTCCCAACAAAAGGAACTGTTTTCTACCAACTACCGTCCTTCTCTCGTATCCCTTATTAGAATTGAGAGGGAGGAGGAGGGAGACACTGACTTTATTCTTCATGGTACTGTAATGAAAGGTCTCCATGAAAGAAATTAATTTCTACCAACCCTACTCCTGCTTCACCTGGATCCTTTATATTGATGAGTTATAATTTCTTATACCTCAAGAGCGGGTTGTTGAAGGAGGAGCCACTTCACACAGAATCAAGCTCTTCCTCCACTCAGATGCCACACACAAATTGTAGTAACCGGAAACAAGTAACCTAATTGCCTTATATGGACGAAATGAGACGGCAGGTACCATCAACGATGTACGCTTCCTTACTATTGCCAAGGCAGCAGCCAACGACAAAGTGAATTTGGTCCGTTTGCTCCCAACCACAGGTGCTCCGTCCTATCATCACTATGCACATACCACCAGGTGCAAAAGTCGTTTGGCGTGGAGAAGAGGCCACCAGCTGGGGTTGGGAGTTGACCTCGGCTGGACCCACCCCCATTAATAGTCTGCTATCAATGGTTTAGTCACAATTTCGGTCTAAGGAAGTTGTAAAACTAAAATTTAAAAGAAAGATAGGTAATTACATTAAAACATATAGCATAACCTAAAAAGAAACGGGTTAACAGAAACGAATCCTATGTAAATAACTTTACCGAAAGAGGATACAGCCATTCTCCATTCGCGTAAAGACACTTAGATAATTAATTAAAATAATTTTAGTGTGATAACTGTGGAATTTTCCGCTACATCTTTCGCAAAAATTAGAGCATGTTTTTCAAGACAAAAGCAAAATTAATCTTTTCTCAATCCCAATGGTACCAACTACTCCTAACACACTAAGAGCGCATTCATTCAGTTACACAAAGGGACAAAGGGACTAATTGATTCATTTTTAGTCATTTGAACTTTCTGCACGTCCTTCTGTTTGTCGCTTGTTGTCTAAATTGGTTTGAAACATTTCATTTAATATTACACCTAACGCCCTTCGGTTGATTGAATATTAGAATGAAGTATTTTTCTTGTAGTGTCTTTTTAGGGCATCGTAATAAGTATAATGTCGTTCCTATGGCAGTTTAATTTTTTTTTGATTGCCAAAAACTAAACTATATCTTCATGTTCGCAATCAGACATCCGGATACAACATTTTCGGCAAAACAAAGTATAATATCTGTAGTTCGAATTCCAAACAAATAACTGTTTAATTTTTAGAGAAATATACTCGTTTTTTATTAATATTTCCGCATCTACATCAACAAGAAGTGATGGGGCTATATCTGATTGTAAATAATTTATAATAATTATTCTTAAAAGTACAATTATTTTACTTTTAAGAATATATGTGATTTGGATTTAACGCCAGGTTCCATACTTAAACACAGAAAACCGAAAGTGACGGTTTGGATGTTAAAAAAGTTAGGCTTTCAATTTGGAGTAGGTATAAAATGGAACCATCAAAACCAAAAACAGACGATATCGAGTTTTTTTTCTCAAACCATGTGTTTTATGTGAAATTGAATGTTTGTTAGGAGGAATTTCGTTTAAAAAAACCTTGTTATTGTTGCAATAGAGAGGAAAAAGCGGAAATGGTACAGGATAACATTGTTAAATTTTGATTTTAACTCTAGTTTTAATAGTTTCCGACATATAGAACAAAAAACAATTTTCAGTAGAAAAAACCGCGCTCGGTCCACAAATTCAAAATTTGAGTCCCAAATAATACAGAAAGTAGATTTTATACCACTGACAAGATTACTGTTGCTATAATTTTGACGGAATTCCTAGTGTTACCTATCCGTATCTGCAGGGTCTTCATTCTACAAAGCTCAATACAATGAAACTTCTAGGTATTATGGGCATTCAAGTATTTCGTCCCTGTAACCAGTTCCAGTTAATCATAAATTAATACCTTTGTGCACTCAATTTCATTAAAATAAAAAAGTTTAATGAAAATTTTCGGCTATGAGCAGATTTCAGCTGACTAAGTACGACATTCAATTAATGAATCGATTATCCCTTCATTAATTTATTGTATAATGAAACAGAATTGTAGGTATATGCACCTGTAATGCTACAAAGACCAGCCACTACGATTATTATGCTATTAATGAGCATGATTATCATATGCGCTAGACATTTAAATCCAACGGGAATAGGAGTGGTCCTAATGTCATTTAATAATACCGGGATTGAATGTTTACACTAACTGTATACTTACTCATTTGAGTAAATTTAATATGCGAAGTAGTAGATACTGAGTGCAGTAAGTAGGACTGTTAGTAAACATACGGGCGCACCCTCAATCGTTATGATGGACATTATTATTTTCGAAGGTGGTTGTTATAGCGTCCTTCAAACAGTTTTACGTAAAGTTGTGCAAACTCTATAAACTCTTGGAAATATTGAAAAGTAGACCTACTTCTATTAATAGAGGGATCGCGAACAAGTTGTTTGCAATCAGAAAGATCCAATTTTCGAGCGCGCCCGACCCTTCAATTAATTGCTGGATGCAATTACAAGACACAATTAACCCTCAGTTTGCAATTACTCAGTCACACCTTGAGCTGCCAACTGAGTATGGAATCTTACATCACAAACTGCGTTTATGGAAATTAAGGATTCTTATTTATTTGATTTCATACTGCTCGTGCTAGTACTTCAAGGCGAGTTACATACACGTTTTTGAATCTTTGTTTAATATCACAAATGGACTACTTTAGGTATGATAAAAGTTAGACATTTTCGTGCAATTGATTGACTTCATTTTTTTCGACAGAGTTTATTTTAATAGCTATTCGTAATGTTTATCCTAAGAGTTATACCATGCGTTTGTCGTAGTTTTAATGAATCCCAACGAAATTGGGTCTCATAATCATTTAGCTGCATATAGTCTTTTATTACTCGTTATTTAGATGGTACAAACTAATACGAACCTCCTAAAGCAAACGATATATTGACCCCGTTACTCTAATAACTAATACAATGCCTACATCTACGTGTAATTTATAGACTACCATTGCTGTTTTGCACGCGTATTATTTACTTATACTTCTCTGTGTTGTTACGCTTATGAATTTTACCACCAATTACTTTAATACGACACCAGCTTTAAGATTAATCAATACTATTACAGTAGGGTGAAATGATTTTATGCTGGAAAATTTTGAGTAGTTTATTGACTAGTTTTGTTAATTACAGCGTTTGTTTCAGGTTTGCGTATGGTGTGTAAAGGACTGCCACCTCATCCAAAAACATTACTAACGTAAGTATACCAAAGGAAAAATTCATAGTGGAAATTTCCAGCAATACACCCTGTACGACCTTTCTTTAGTTCGTTTTTGTGTAAAAAATTGATGCTAAAGTCAAAACTCCGATTATACCCACTGAACTACACTGGAACGCGCATTGGCGGTCTTTGCCATAGAAACGTAGCGCGCTGAGAGAGATAACGCGCTTAAAAGTAACTAATAAAATAACAAGTAAATGGAAAACTTGGTGTTATTAATCCTTCCACAATTCACTCTCACCCCTTTTCCAGAGGTGGGAATTAGCGTGCAGACAATTCGATTACGTTATCTAAGCCGTGTTGCCTAGCCTAGCCAAATTGACCGTTACTTATTCAGCGTGGAGGAGGTAGACGAATTTTCTTAAATAAATGAGAGATAAGCAACGTTTGAGAACCGCAGGTTTGCATGCACCTGCCAAATTCAGAAATTATGTTAAACTTTATTATGCTCAGACTATGAAACACTATTGGGAATTGGGATGTATTGTATCATCACAATTTTAGAATGAACTCTTGCCAACAAATTGTAAGATTAATTCGATCGTTTTATTACTGCTGGAAAATTGGGGAAACACTTTTCCTATCCAAGATGGATCGTGGTCGATAGTAAGTCTTGGCTAACATGTGCATATCTTTGCACGGGAATAAAAAATAATACACTAATTCATAGAACGCTCCGATTTTTAATTTCAAAAGCGTAGAGCATGTAAAAAAAGGCTTGTTTGTACGCGTTCACTCTACCATCCATATTTACTTTAACTGAGAAAATACAAAGTCCCTGTTTGTTATATAATTGTTAAGATTACGCGGCGGTGAATAGTTATTTTACGCTAGTTTTGGTGTTTTCTTTAAAATGGATAAACATCGCTCTCTGGCTTGTGCAGCAATTTAGGACACAGTGCGCTTAATTTAATAGGAACACAACGAATTTGATCTGCATAATACATTTTAAAAGGAGCTTTTGTTATTTTTACATCATAACAAAGTAATATTGATGCCAGGTCAAGCTGAAATATAAATTTAAATATTCATGACGAGAGCGCATATTGTGAAATTATAATTTATACGGTTACGGCGGCGGCAATCAAACTAGTGATAATAAAGTGGTGTCCCTTTGGTTCCACCTACACTAACCTTTAATTGCTGTTTTCATATTATAATATTATTAAAAGCTTTGATATATTTTGTAGTACGGGTCGTTTCAATGCAATTATGTTGAAATAATTCGCCAATTACGTTGCAGCGAAAATTTGACTGCTCTTTTAGCAAATTACCACAGAGGTTTATATAAAACTGCAAATGCTCGAAATGTAAACAGGTACAAGTGATGATGCTTTTCTATGAAATTCAATGTAACAGATTTGATTGAGAAGTCTAATCGAAAGAGTACGAATTGTTTTAGATTCTACGCACCCAAATTAATAAGAAAAAGTGTTTTCCCGAGAAATTTTGGTGTAGTCGATTTTTGTTAAAAAAGGAAGGTTTATACACTGCCTTTTTTTGGCCCGAAAAAAAAATTGTCTCAGATCGACCGGGAAAAAACAGTTTCTTATAGAATGTGGCCTGTAGAATCCATAATTTCAAACAGTTCCAAGATTGGGCTACTAGTTCAAAAGTTACAGCCCTTTGAATTTTATTTTGAAATTGGTTTCTAGTCTATAACTTTTGAAAATGTAACACGTTGACGCAATATAGACAGAGGCATTCGTATAGATTTGTACAATCTAAGTATATGGGTTGAGAAAGCTTTTTTATGTAATTATTTCTTCAATGTTTGGCTTCATTCAAAACAGGCTTACTTACTTACAGACTTACAGTGTTTAGGTCAAAGACGTTGTTCATTGTTGTGGATAGGCAGATGGAAATCTGGACTAGCCCGTAAGAGATATTTGGAAACCCCTAACCTGAGTTTTTCGACCGCGAATTGTTCAGTGAACCCGTCAGCGACTTGTGGAAACCAGGAGCGTTCTAACACAATGTCACCTTAATACAGGAAGCAACAGAAACGTTTTTTTAAAGAACATACGTTGCTGGAGGTAGAGGCGAATACAACAACGTGCAGCAAGAATTACAAGCAAAGATCGTATATAGATTTGCAAGGCGTGCATGAACAATGATTATATTCACGCCATATACATACAATTAAAGATCATCCAAATTTTGGCAAGAGTTGTATTCTGTCGCCGGCGTAATGTAAACGTTTTTTGTCAGCGACTATATACTGGTGAAGCAACTCCTTACAAACGTGGCTTTAGAATACCTTCACAATCTCCACTTCGTCAAACAAAAAAATGTCTAAAAATGCTACTCTCCCCAATGGATACACGTTAAAATGATAAAAAATTGTCCGGGTTGACTTTAAATTTATTCGAGGTTTCTACTTTGCACTTTCTCACACTGAAAAAAAAATACGGGTGTACTCTTTGAAAGGGTAACCTCTTCTCTTCGCTTATAATTCTAATAGAAACGCTTTCTCTTTGCTCGCTTATCCCGAAATATAAAAACCAAGACCCCTTTTCGAACTACGTATGTTGTTATCTCCTTTTATTTCCAGACGTAAGTTCGTTCCTATTCACTATAAAGCGGTATATGTGTAAATTTCCCTATGTTTACCAAAATATGAACTCCAAACCAAAACCGTTTTAATTCTAAAGCGACCGCCCGTTAGAATCGTCAAATAGTAACTATTTAACCTACCACATTTCTCAGCGACTGTAATATACCCGCCAAAAGGAAGAACGTTATTATCGTAAATAGCCTTTAAATTCAGCAATAAAATAACTGTTTCGCTATAAAGATACGAATCCGTACCGAGTGACGGTCCAGAAACCCAACGTACCTAACGCTTTTTCAAACACTACTTACAATTAGCATATTGTTATTAAGTGTGATAACTTTGTTAAGTAAATTATAGAGCGAGTCCCGGAAGAATCACGCCAACAGTTCCCATCTCTTTATAGAAAGAGAACACCCTGGCGCACTTCTACAGAATTGTAATTTTCGTCTGCCTTTCACAGTGACCACAGTCGAAAGTTCAAAAACGCAAACTAGAAATTTTAATTCTTTCCCTGCATTGTATTCTCAATAGAAAATTCACGCGGTTGAAAAAACATGCGCATTCGAAGCCTCGTACTGCCTTGCGTTCTATTTAGTCCTGAAAGGCCATTTCCTATTTGTCCACCACAGAAAAACCATTTCATCCCCGAATAGTGTATTTGTTTTGGAATTTCCACGTGCTCCTCTTCGCGTATAGACCGCAAACGGAACTAATCGTGAGAAACATTGTTTTTCTATATCTCTTCTCTTTTGCTCACTAGGAACTTTCAAACGGGCTACCGAAAAACTTTCTCCCTTCCTTAAGCGTTATACCTACTACCACCGTTTACTTCCGCTTTATTAAGTAAAATATAATTACTTCCGCCATTTAAGCCCGTTTTTCACGCCACCCGGGAGGTGTCCAGCAGAAAGCGCTGGAGGATCCGTAGTCCCCAAATTGACCTCGGTAGGAGCGTAGGTCTTGTGTATCTACGACAATCCATTCCGAGTGTTAGGGACCTCACCCGGCGGCGACTGCGACTAGTTACCCCTCAAACGGGTGTTCCGGTCGAGACCTACATCTCTCCGAAGTCACAATACGTCTGAGAGGCGACGTCACGGCTTGAGGGAGGAGGCTCCTCCTCTCCCTATAACGCGTCCGTTTGTCACTCCGAACCGACGCACTAACGGTGACATCGCAGGTCTGGGATAGAGGGGAGCTCCCCCCCCCCTCCCTCACCTCTGGTGGACATCAAGAAGAACTGTATTCCCCCAACCACCGCATACCGACAAATCAACCCCTAAGAGGACAACGCCCAATCACGATACACTTACAACGGTATGCTCTTGCGCATCTAGCGTGACGTCACGTGCGAACAAAACCACAGAATATAGAGCAAAATTACGCTTCTTAGATCGACAAATCACACTGATTTTGTGTAGAGATCGTCGCGGCGGGTATTTCTGGGATTTGGTGATCGTATGAAATAAACTCGAATCAAAAATATTGGCCCTAAACATGAAGTGCGGCTTTTTCAGTAAATATTATGTAATTAATGCTTTATTAAAAGATCGAATTTCTCTTCCGTTTCCCTTTTATTTTGATTTTCATTTTACGTGGTAGTTTTAAAGTAGGTAAAGCATCAGGTTTTCAAATGTCCGCTGTTTTTAAAAGTAGGTTTAATTAAGAAATCGTTCCCTTAGCGGTGCTTCAAAACGGCTGGCTTCAACATGTTCAGAGCAAATACAGGCTATAGAATTAAACAGCAATGGAAAGACTTAAATACACCACTTAATATTAATGTAACACCATTTTTCAAGTTAATTTTGTCCTTACGACGACTTGCAACAATCCATTTTTGAGAAAAGTTTTCAATTTTCCGAAATCGAAAGTATTTTATTTCCGTTCCTTTTGTTTTTCTATTAGAATTGCCCCATTGAGCCACTACAGAACCTGGCATTTTGGAAATTTCACTAATGATTAATTAGCTATCAACAAATTAACGGTAAACCTCGTAGATACAAGATACAACTTATAAGTTGCAAAACTGTCACGCGTGACATGTGTACTACTAGATCGGTCCTGGCGTAAACATTTGAATTTTGGCGCCACATGTTCGCAGGTGACGTAATGCGCAGTAGAAAACGCGTTTGAGAAAAATAATGAGCATACCGTGTGTAAGTGTATCGTGCGCCCAATGGAAGGACAACCTGCAAGCCAGCAGAGGTTGGGCTGTTCCTTCCCCTTGTCGCGAAACAAATGCTACTCATTTAAGGTATGACTTCATCCTCGGAGATGCCGCACAGCATCTTACTACACACGCTATTACATGTGTTGGGTTCCGCTTTGTAGTGATACTTCTCCAGACCTCCAGCGTTCGTCTCCGACTAACGAAGTTTGACACAGGGATCGCATCGGTTACTAACGTACGCACTCGGTT